TATTACAAATTAACAATGTATATAATATAAAACTTATCTTGTATACATTATATGTATGATCATATATTTAGTAATAATGAAGGATCGCTGTTTAGTAAATAGATAATCAAAGTAAATTATTTCACGTGATAGGTGATCACGGAAACATTTCTGAATAATTGCATTGTAATTTTAGTGAACAATTTTTATCGTTAGATTTTATTTAACAATAAAAATCGATTGATGCTAAAAGTTATAAAACTGTATGAAAAAGCTAGGTTGCTACAGGAAGTCACAAAATCTTGAAAAAATTAATTATTTTTGTTTTAATTTTATATAATATAATACAACTATATAACTATATATGGGAAATTGATAGTTTATGCAAAGTAACTGTATATGTGGAATAATAAGATGTATCTATCTTTCAATTTGATTAATAGACTTTGATTGTTTTTTTACTTGTATGCATGTTATACGTGTGTGTGGAGATTCATACGAATGTGTAAGAAAGTAATTGTAAAAAATATTTAAGTTAATTTTCTTTCAATTAATTAAAAGATCGTCGAATTAAGTATAATTATCACTAAATAAATTTGCAAAATGAATGCAATAGAATTAAATGAGTCTTCAAAATTTTTTTGATCAACACTGTACTTGTTAACACAGCAAGAAAACTGTTTAAAAAATCATATAAACCTGTAGAGATTACATTAAATTATATTAAAATTCGTTTCACTTAAGTTTAATGAATTATTTTGCAGTAATGCAGTACAAATTATGTACTTAAGTTTCACATAGCCAGTCACAAGGTAATTTTGGCATTTTGTTCGCTGGCCATGGAAGATAACCTGCTGTTTTAAAGATCCAATAATCATAAGATACTTTAGCTATCAGACTTATCAAAAGAACCACTTCTGTAGCAATAATGTAGTAAATGTAATCTGTCCAGTCACCTGGATACACACACATCTTTGAAGGTTCTAAATCAACAACTTTTTCTTTGACATTTTCGCATAATACTTCATCCGAATCTAATATACGAGTTTGTAACCACACCTAAAAATATAATGATATGACATCTATAATTTCATATTCGTCGTATAATATTTACCTTTAAATACTTAGCTGTATTACAATCACAATGCAGCTCATTTCCTCCGAGTTTCACATATCGCGAACTAATAAAACTTTTATCATGAGTGTTAGGACTCAAAATGTAAGTTGGAACCTGTATATTTAAATCAATACCAATATAATTATAAATTTTTCTTATATGCTATTAATTTATCATAAATCTATCACTGTTTTTACTTACAGATTTGATTTTGTTATATCGCAAACTCAGAAAAGCATAGTTATCTAAAAACTTAGAACCTTCTAGCTTGTTTATAGATGATATATTATTATAATCTGCATAAAATTCTCTTATGTCTTCGTAACATGGGTTGGTACTAAGATCATCTAATGCTGTAATCTATGACAGTGAACAAAAACGATTAAGATTATTTGATTGTGATTTCTATGAATTCAAATGAATTACACATATAATACACAATAATGCGAATAGCGCTACATCTTTTTCATGCAAAACCTTGTACATTATTGGATCCACCATAAAGGATAGCAAGAAGTAGCCATATACGTTTAGTAGAAATATTTTATAATATTGTTGACATAAACAATGCAAGAAACTATAAAATTTACGTACATTGTTGTACGATACATTCAAGGCTATGGTATTGCGAGGTAATTTTTCTGGTAATTCAGTGATCTGAATACCGCTACAATCCACATTTACTGCTAAAGTCGGTGGTTTACCTTGTAGAATATCGAATCTCCTAAAATTGCATTGGCACTGCCAAGTATCCCCTTTCGGACATTCAGTTTGTAACTGTTAACAGTAACACAACATTAAAATATTGAACATTGGATGATTATAACAAAGTGTTGCTTCATTGCACTTCAATATATATTAAAAGTATTGTTCACATCAGTTAAAAATATTACCAAACTAAGGTATCGAACTTGTTTCAAAGGAACTTGTTCAGTGGTATTGAACCAATGCCATGTTTTGCTTGCTGAACATACAGTTTCATTTTCACGATTAAAATTAATTTGTTTTTCTCCTGTCTTATTAATGTACTGGTAGATATCATGACACCAAAGTGTATTTGTCCCTAAGTATAAGAAATTATGTTACTCAAATGCTACAAAATGTTATTAAGAATAGCAAAAATGATTTTTCATGTATACTTATTTATGTACCTGAAATATCCAGCCAGAATTCACGACCATTCATTGTATTTAAGGCTGGTAAGTGTGTAAGATTGTTGTAAGACAAATCCAAAGTGGTAAGTTGAACTAAGCGAGTAAGTGAATTATTTTCTACTTCAATAAGAGCATTGTTTGATAAATTCAAGCATAGTGTTGGTGTCATCATTCGAAATTGTCCTTTCACACGATTAATTTTTCCATCGGTTATAGCAAGTGATTTTAATCTTCTCCATCGCTTTTCACTAACATTGAATACGTCTAATGTTGCATTTCTTATGTGTATATGAGACACATTTGATGGAAATCCTGTAACATTTAAATTACTTATGAAAAATACTGTACTATAAATATTACTCCATGTATATTTGATAACTACTATTACTAAATATACATATACATAATCTAACATAAGAAATAATTGTTAACAGTCTACAATACTGATTTAAATTACTATGAACTATAAAATTACATCATCTACAACATGCAGTTAGTGCTAGCAAAAATACACTGATATTAAAGGTAAATTATATAAAATTAACATATAAAGATATTGAAAAGATGATAATTGAATAAAGAATTATTTTTGTAATATATTGGACATTAATAGAACTTGTCTAAAGCTACCATTAAAGTCAACTTTTTTATATTGCTTACATCTAGCTGTAATTGAAAGAGCTCTATGGAGTGTTCTATCCATGGTAGACTTTTTGCCAATAGTCCTTAGGAACCTCCATGATACTTAATATGTTAAATAATAAAATAATTAAATAATCAAATAATCTTATAATAACCTGCACAAGATAGCTCAGACTCGAAATTTCTAATATCCAAATTACAACAAAACACTGCAGTGCCTTCAGGATTATTATGGGCAAGAACAATTTTTGTACAGGAACATCCAGTTGTTTCAACATTAGGACATTCGCTAGACTGGCGATAAAAACATTGTTCTAAAACTCCACCAGAAATTCCTGTTATTGTACTTGATGATGATGTTTGTTGATCTTCTTCTGTTCGAGCACTTGCTACTCCTGCATACAAACACATCATTATGGTGAACCACTGCATCTGTAAAATTGTTATACAGATATTATGAAAATAAACAAATATAATTAACACATTGTACTTTAATCATTAAATACATTTCACATTCCTTATTATTATATAAGACATTAAGTCTTCAAATTATCATTATTATGGAAAATAAAAATTTAAACTTTGTTATTACTTTTCCGTAAAAATATTTTTGCAATAAATATAAATTAATAATACATATGCTTTAATTACCCTATTTTAATAATTTCAATCTAAAACGAAGTGTTAGGTATAAATTAAAGAAAATAAGTTTCTATCCGGTTAAAAGAACATTGTGTAGTACTTTTTTTCAATTCTTACTTTTATTTATTCAGCGTATTAATAGCGTACAAATGGCACAAACATTAATACTCGTCACTAAGAATTCGGATAAACTTTGATAAGTTAAAGCTACCATAACTAATAACTCTCTAAATTTTTATACTCTCTTAAGTTTTTGTTATGTACAAAAAACATTGTGATCGAGGTGCCACGAGGTAACGTAAACATTTCATACAATTCATTGTAACTATACTACATTGTATCAGCTGATCGTAACATTCATTGTATATTAAATCATAAACATTAAACCTTCCAAGAAACTGCTGAAATGTTCATATTTAAATCTGAATTATGATCAACGCATATTCCGTTTGTATACTTTCATTTTTAAAGAAATCGAAAAAATTGTACATACATTGTCATTAGTAATATCTAAAATGAATGCAGGATTAAAAATAAATGAACAAATGTTTTAATTTCAAGTTACCTTCATCTCGTAACACTGTTTAAAGTACAAAATTGTCAAGATCTACATTTTAACAAAATTCTTAAAATAATTTTGTCATCAATTTATGGTGACATATTGTCACACATACAACTGATACGGGATATTATAGTTTTTACAAGTAGAAGTAGTCACCATTGAAAATAAACAGAATTTTATTTTAGCAAGAAAAGACACGCATTGCGCATCCGAACTAAAAAGACATGGGTAAATTAATTCGGTTAGTTGACTCCGACACTTTGGGTCATATAGGTCGACCTATTAATGAATCAAAATTGGTTAGCTGCTGGCAGACCGCGTCACTTTATTACTCTCGTTGGCCTCCCATTTACAATAAATCACTACACATTTGGAGTTAAAGTTGGTCGATTTTACTGCTTTTTTCTTATATTTTATTTATTTTCTCTCATTGAAACTCTAAAAGAAATTTACGAAACAAAAAGATCTCCTGACGTTGCATCGAATACACAAAGAAAGTTTAAATAAAAGTTCAATAAAATTTGTTTCACACAAAAGTGAATAATGTAAATAAGTAGTGTCAATATCCATAGTATTCGTTGTTAAACTAGATGTGTAGATCAGCAATCAAATAAAAAAGTTATTTAGTATAAATCATCAACAGTATAGATTTAAAAAAAAGATGAATTTTCTATACTATATTAAATCAATTTAATATACGGCAACTGTTTTAATTATTTAATGTGAGAATTGCAAGAAATTAATAGACTAGAAAATAATATATTTTTGGTGATTTTGTTACCAAAGCATTTTTTGTTTCGCATAATCAATATTGATGTCGAAATTCGAGATGTGTTACTTATCCAAGATGTATGATGAAAAATGTGGTGAAAAATTTTGCTCCCAGAGCATATTGTATGTTAAAATGTTTTCAGTTCTCAAAAGACTGAGATCATTTATAAGACTCTTATCGACTGTTGGTAATTTTTCAACAAATTCAATTATATGTAATTTATACATTATTCAGAACATTGTCAGCTAGTTTGATCAGTAGCTTATACATTTTTGTCATAGATGGCGCAGTTAGATAATTTTAATCATGGCTCACTATGTACGGTAAATTACTACTTAAATATTATTGAAAATCGCCATAGCGGATATTAATGCATACTATCGATTTAAAAAATGTCATGAACAATTAAATGAAATATTTAATTTCAAGGTGTGCGATTTTATTATATTTTGCAGATACTTTATATACCATTGAATATAAAATTTCATAAGAGGGAACTTTAGTTACAGTTTGTGACTTTTGAATAGTCAGAGTGAAATGGATGTGTGTTTTGGCTATTTGTATATAAGATCATTAACTTTAAAAAGAAAATTCATTGAGATATGTTGCATTTGCAAGACCAACTGTATATACCGCGACATATTTTATGAGTGAGTTAACCTTCTTTCTATGTTAAATGATCTTTGCATGTATATATGTACATTACTATTTGTCAGTGTTTTAAGATGGCCGACTTGAATGAGAAGTTATTAACAGAACTCCTCAAAAAACCAGAAAATAACGTGTGTGCAGATTGTGGGGCAAAGAGTGAGTGGGTTTTTTAAGAAGATTTAAATATGTTTGTGAACCGCGATATAAAAGCATTAGAAAGGATTTGTTTAGAATCATATTAACTATTTAATGTTCAAATTTGAAACCTTGTTTTTGTAACTTCGTTTACTTTCAAATATAAGGAAATCTGATTTAAAACAATGTGAAAGTTCAACTGTCAAATGCAATGATAAACCTCTGTAATAAATATCATTAAAAAATATTGTTGTTACTAGTTAAGAAAACTTCTCTATTTATTTTGTGATATGTGATATGTTAATGGATCGTCATAGAATTTAACGAAATAGATACATTTTTATTAAAGTTTAAACATCTGAGTTATTATTATAATAATGCACTCCATAATGTAGAAGAAATATAAAAAAAATGTGCATTATATTAAAAAACAATTTAAGTTATGTCTGTATCTAATAATAAAGAAATTTCATTTACATGTTTTTTTGGTTTGTTATGTTTATTCACCTTTCTTATTATAAAACATATTTTTACAAGACTGTGCATTTTGTTGTATAATTACCTTATATCTATAAACATTTGTTAGAGATAAATTTCTATAAATTAGAGACTTAGAGATAAATTTTGATTAAAAGATAAGAAGTAATTTTATTCGGTTAATTCGAATCAAATTCCAGATCCAGAATGGGCTTCTTATAACATAGGAATATTTGTATGCACAAGATGCGCTGGCATACATAGATCAATGGGAGCACATATTTCTAAAGTAAAACACTTAAAATTAGACAGGTGGGAAGATTCTCAAGTAAATAGAATTAGAGAAGTTGGTAATGTGGTTGCTAGACTTCATTATGAAGAACGTGTACCACCATGTTATCGTAGACCAAGTCCGGATGCACCGCAGTAGGTTCTCATACATAAATTTCAATTAAATAAAATTATAATATTTTAGAAAATAATTTTTTTGTAATTATTAGAGTATTAGTGGAACAATGGATAAGAGCAAAATATGAGAGGGAAGAATTTTGTCATCCAGAAAGACAGAATCATTATGTATCAGGGTTCATGGAGGGATTTCTTATGAAACGAGGTAAAGAAGATTCACGATATCATCCTCGAAAATTTGTGCTTTGCGAAGCAGAAGATACATTAAAATATCATGTTAAAGAAAATAAGGTATGTAGATATTGATTATTATACAAATCTGAAATATTGCCCATAAACATTATATATTCAATGTTTTTAACGACCTCTTTGTTATAAGGAACCCAAAGCTGTTCTTAGAATATCAGAGTTAAATGTAGCTTTTGCTCCACCTAAAACTGGTAATCAAAATAGTTTACAAATTTCGTTCATGAAGGATGGTACAACAAGACATATTTATGTATACCATGAAGATCCAGAAGTAATCACAAATTGGTATTTAGCAATACGATGTGCAAAACTGCATCGTTTAAAGGTGGCCTATCCTGGAGCAACTGAAGCAGAGTTACTTTCACAACTTACCAGAGATTTTTCCCGTGAGGGATTTTTGTGGAAAACTGGGCCTAGGCATACAGATGCCTATAAGAAAAGATGGTTTACATTAGATGGCCGTAAACTTATGTATCATGATGATCCAATGGTATGTACATGATAATTAATATATATGTATGCAATATTTACTTAATGTATTTTATTTCATTTAAAGGATGCACATCCAAAAGGGGAAATATTCTTGGGTCATTCTTCAGATGGTTTTGCTATAAAAACAGGAGTACCACCAGGTGCAAGAGATCAAGGATTCTCATTTACTCTTGAAACACCAGACAGAACCTATCTACTTTCTGCTCAAAGTGACGATGATAGAACACAGTGGATAAATGTGATACAAAAGGTCATAGAAAAGCCGCTTACCCCACAAGATGCAACTGGTGAGTTTACAATTGAAAAGTAAAAAGATATCTAAAATATATTATGTGTATGTAACTGATTTTGATTGAATATTTATAGTAGCAGCACGTCTTATAAGAAAACGCACAGCAAGTGGAACAATGAATATATTTTCTTCTACAAGGTAGGGCTGGATCCCTCTTAGGTGCCTTTCTTAATTGTTAAAAGTTAACATTACCTAAACAAATGAATTGGGCTGTATCAGGAGATTATCAAGCAAGTAGATTACTCGACGTGCATGATGAATGGGTAACGTGTTATAATCGCAAAACAGCGAAGTGTGTGAGCACGCACACACGCTGGCACGCACGCACGCACGCACACATACACACAAACACACACAGATAGGAAACACGCAAATATACGTATATATTTATTCGTAACCATTAGACTGCGGATATGTATGCAATCTTACATTTTCGTAGATCAATTTATGAAAATAAAAACGACGGAAAATTTGATTTCTTTCATTACAAGCTTCGTTATGTTACACGTTAAATATTAAATGGAAATTGTATTCAATACTATAATGATTGAAAATTTATTATATTATTGTATATGAATGTAAGCTATAAATGTATACGAATCCGCAGTTTAGTAATCATGCACGTTATATCATACACCTTATGCATATATAAAGTATTATAAAAACATCTTTAAAATTAAATTGAATTTTAGAAAATAATTGAGACTATTCGCGTATAAATATGATTATGTTGTATTTACAAACGAACATTATACTGAGGTATGAACATTTGTGTTAATTCATGTCAAAAGATCAGATTTGCTTTATTATATTATGAAGTATTGAACATATGTATATATGCATAAGACCAAAGAAAATGGATTGTAAAAAAACTATGATACGCTCTTCAATGATACTTTTACCGCGTAATGCTTATTGCTTGCTGTCGAATCAAGCTATCAGTATTATAGCACTATATCAAACAAATTTTTACTTAACAATAATACTGTCTATGATATTTATTAGTTGATAATTGGAAATTTACAATTTTGTAGAACGTATAATAATTTTGCTTTGAAATTTTTGAGTACACATTGTATAATATAATATACGAAAGGATCGACGAAATTAAGTTCAAATATTAATTTGTAGTTTTCTTTTACTTTCATTGTGCTCACTTATCATTTTTCTGTATAGAGATAATAAATTTTTAAGGCCTAGTAGTTGATTTTTCTATAAGAACGCGAAAGAAATAGAAAGTCCATTCAATCGAAGTCGAATTCAATTATAAATGTTGTGTTGTTGTAGATATGCGTATATTATGGGTTTAATCCATTCTAGCTTTTATATGGACAATATTCACGTCTTGTACTTCGTGTGTATATATATATACACATATTCTTATTTCCTTTGATAAGAGGTACATTTATTATAAAAGTAATGTAGATGTATAATAATAATTCAATTCTTCTGCAATATAAAATATCAAAAAGACTGTATTAAATGAAGAGACTTATACACTTTACATATATGTGCATTACGAATATATTCATACGTATTATCGTATACTTGCGCGTACATATATACACACTGGACAAATAAAAGTATCTTGACTGTTTCAAAGATGAAAGTCAATATTTTAAAAAAGAACGGTTATTCATCGATAGTATGTTTAAAAAACAATAATGGCAAATGAATTTTTCCACTAGATCTTTTATTTTTAACTCGAATTGAATGATATTCATTGTTTAAACTTTAACGTAACACGCAACATTGTAGAGAATTGTTTAACGTACACGTGTAAACATCCGTGGAAAATTTTATTGTATCTCATCGTATGTAATAACGAACAGTTTAAATACAGTAGAATCTCATATACAGTGTTCGAATTAATAGTAAGACATGATACATGATAACATTTTTGGATAATAAAAAAGTGGTCGTTCTTTTTAATGATTATCGTATATTAAAAAAAAATAATACCAGAAATTACAATGAGAAAGAACAGGATATAACATAAAATGTGCATTTATTTTAATAGCGAAAGAAATAGGTGCACATGGAATATCAATAGATCTTTGGATACTGGAGGCTCTACTGTACTTCAATATTGAGCACTATAATTATTCGATATTTTTTCCAAAAAATGTTTATTTAACTAATTTATGCTTAAGATGATGGAAATATATGAAAAATTTTATTATTTCTTATGCATGTATCGTAAAGGTATTCCCATTATATACATACAATGTTTGAAAAATATATATACATACATATACAATAGATTATTACCATTTTTTACAATTAAGGAAGCATGATTAAGAAAAAATTTTTTATGAAAAATTACTGTAAAAATCTGAGTGTTCCTTCACTGTACACGTTAAATTATTACTCCATTCTGCTGATATGTATCGCAAATAAATTTGTATAACTGTTAACAGTAAAGGTAAAAATGTTAAGAATTCTATTTGTTGTATATTGTATATGTATTCATCTGAAGTTCCAAGGTGCAAAAACGTTATCGCGATATCATAAAATATTATTTTACTATAAAATACTTGACACTTTCATATGCTTGTGTTTGATAAATTTACTAATAAATTCTTTTATATAAAACACTTTCTGCAAAGCAAAAGAGTTTGGTTCTTGGAGTTCTGTACAGATCAATACAAGATGTTAGTTAATAGTTTATCCTGTTATTCTGATCACATTCAGATATAGGTGCCCTTTTTACATAACACAGAATATTCACCCAACAGAAGGCTGCAATACTGACAAAAGTCACTCTCAGCGACGCCGGTATTAATAAGAAATTTAAGAATTGTACTGGTAACCAATACATACATGAAGTCTGAAAATGAAAAATTCAATTAATCACAAATTTATTGAAGAAATACGAATTTCTTTTGAATTACCTTGAACGTTTGTACAAATTTAGCTTTACATTCGTTGAAAATATCTGCTTTATTCTCCATTAGGCTCATACCTAAAATATTCATAGAAATAAAATCTTGTAAAACAGAAGAGAAAAATATAAATTGAATAAAAATAGAAGACTCACTGATATAAAACACAATAATCAATGGTGGTGTAAAAACAAATTGGTCAACAAAAAGCTTCGCAAGAACGATCTTCATTGTTTTACCTTTGCAAAAGGTGTCCAACCATTTATACCTGATGAAAACAGTATTGATTATTAAGAAATTTACTGTCGATCTTTATCTACTTAAGAGAAACAAAAAAGTTTCGTTCTAACTGATTGTACAAACATTCGAGTATCGACGATTACAACATGTGTGGAATATGCCTAGAATAAATATATATAAAATTTTGTAGCATTAAAAATGTCAAAGCAGCATAAGTTCACCGAAGGTGATACACAGCGTGAAAAATTCGACTTCCCGACGAAAGCATTTTGATGCAATCGTCATTCAGTCTGTAGTTAGATTATCTAATGTTAGTACCAATAATAAAAAGAAGTATTCAATCTGACAATAATAACAACCAAAAGGGTTTCTTTTTAATTATATGAAACACGGATCACGGTTTCGTCGTCGTCTTCGTCTTCGCCTTCGTCTTCGTCTTCGTCTTCGTCTCCGTCTTCGGCATTATTAGCATTTCATTGTATTCATTACTTCATACTTAAGGAGATGTTAATTTCGATTAAGTCAAGAAAATATATTTTCATAATATGAAATACAATAATCAACGTTTATCAGTGTCCGGTGTGTCTCTTATAATCAATTCATTAGAAACTTAATTGATAATATTTGTGCGCGCATGTATTATATAGAGAACAATGCTAAAATATGTAAAAGCCAAGCATGGAAAGCGACATAAAACATAGTGGTAATGGAGAAACATTGCAAAACGCAAAGATACCATCCATGGAGCATCGGTCCTGCTATGAAGCAACCATAGATAGCGTATCGTTTAAGTTGAGCCCAATTGTAATTCCCCGATTGCGTCATACTATCCTCATCCGATAAAGTTAATGCCTTGTTAAATATTCTTAACCAAACGGAAGGCTGCGTTTGATCATCAATCGTGTCGGAGTTTTTGATCCGTTCCGGCATCGGAGTTGTCAACGGAGGCTGTAACATAATCGTGACAATTCTTTGATGAGATACTTTGAAGTGTAAGCAAAAGTGTCCCATTACAACTATTTCTCATCTATATGTATTGAATCCATCATACTCTTTTCAAAACAAACTGCATAACAACAATTTTTCATTTATTAATTACTAACAATCATATTTCAAGATGACGATTGTCTCCATTTTTACCGGGTACAGATTTCACAGTATATTGCATTCACTGTGTCCGTACGATATAGAAGAGAATAATCATTAAATACCTTGAACATATTGTTGTAAGTTTGTTGAGCGAATTCAGCACCCGTATAAAAGGATCCGTATATCATCGAGTTGAAGAGCAACGGTCTTTTCTGTAATTTCCTCAATATCCTTGATGCAGCCATGGTCGTCTACAGACTTTAAACGATCAATTAATAAGATGACAATATATTTAATGTATATATGAAGCAGAGTTTGCGAAGATCACGTTATGAGCAACAAAACTATCTTATTGAGACCAATTTCTTTTATCATCGATTACTTGTACTGTATACACCGGCACAACGAAAAGATAGAAGAAAAACAATAATAATCGAACTGCGCGACGCTTCGGCTCAAGTGTAATGAATAAACATATGTGTACAAGTGGAAATATTTAATGTAATGTAATTGGTGATATGACTCAGTACGGAGAAAACAGGAAAGTATCGCAATGCGGTCAATTTTCCAGACATCGAAAATGTAAACGAATATTTTGCGCGCGTACACTACACGTGTACACAATTTTGAGTGCTCAGACTATATTTTAAATTGACAAGTAATTTAAATGGAACACAGGTCAAAATGATCAGATTGATTAACAATTGACCAATAATAGTACCGTTTTCTTTTTAAAGACGCTAATTCGTATGATTATTTTACACATGAGCATAATTTCGTACTTTAATCTCCCCATTTTTCTTTTTACATGGTAAATAATCATTTACTGTATTTAAAAATCTCAATTTATTTTTTGGGCTTATGCAAGCTTGTAAATGCATAAATAAATTGTTTTTCTAAACAGCGGTATACATATGTAGCCTTGAATATTTTTAAGTGTTCATTATAAATTTTGTTTTCTTAACATTGAATCTGTCTCATAATCGTTTAGCATATATGCTTTCAATAAAAATTTCTGAACTTAAATTTATCATGTCATTTACAATTGTGCATTATATTCAAAGGAAAATTTTAATTTAAAAATTTTTTCGTATTAAGTGATTTTTTTCAATATTGAGCTGTTCCACTTTTCGAACAACGCTAATATTTAAACATATATTAATTTATGACACATTGTAATGTTACGTACGTGACGTAATTTTACAATATTATAAAAGTTTGCTTTTACTCGAAAAATTAGATGATCGTTCGTGTCGAGCATGTAATAATATTGCTTATAACCAATTTCTTTTGTCTTTTCAAGAAACTCAATATTTAATAAATGCAATAAATTAGTGTTTATAATTTACCTTGAACTTATTTTGTGTTATTTAATGAACAATTTAACTGAAAAATATCGATACACTCAAAGTACTGCTCTGTAGGAGTTGCGTGCGCGATATAACACGTGCAACCGGGTATAGGCGCTTAGATCTAATCAAAACCAATCACGTCCCGGTTACATCAATTGATATCTACTCTCATACATAGGATTATTTGCTATCACAAAACAAGTGTATGTACTATATTGATGATAAACGTTAAATTGTATGCTGTATTTTGTGTTGTTATAAGATAATAAAATTTGCTATGCTCATAATATATTCCTTTGTACATTAATTATATTAGTGAATATCTAGTTATAGAATGATTATTCTTCTTCATAAACATCATATTGAATTTGACCTGTAATATGAGAGTACAACCAGTTTCTCCAATTGGGATTCACAACTTTCTCAAAGGTAAATTCCTGAAATATTTGACTTTTCTGTACCTAGTAACAAACATAAATTATAATTATCATCAATTCAGTTATACTTATTCTGCACAATTTTTCGCAGACATTACCTCGTGAAATTCTAATTTTGTGAACATTTTTATACTTTTTTCGTTATCACATTTAATCTTTGCTGTAAATTTTGTTACATTTAGCATATCAATACCTATTTAAGAAAATTTCATTTTTTGTAACAATATAATGCACAAATATAAGAAAAAAAATAAATGCAAAGTAAGTACCGTAAAGCAACATTATAATTATTGCCTCCCAACCCCTTTTCTTATTTCTGTAAGCAATATTAGCTATCATGATTTCAACTTCAGCAGTATCCTTTCGATCCAGATCATTAAAAAATAAGTTAGTGTCTCCAATCATAGCTTCTAAAATTGATCGGTGTAATTACATATTAAAAGTAAAAACATGAAAAGTGAGTCGAAACATATTATTTACCTATTTCGTCTGAAGTAGTAGAAAGAATATTTTTATCTAGAATAATAAAGGTACATTCTATAACAAAGAAAGAGATACGATTAGTACAGAATTATGTGTTTAGTAGGAAATAATTACCCACTATCTTCATCTTGATTCCATCTCTGTTGCATTTGAAATTCTTCTTCTAATGTCAAAGCTTCTGAGCCGGTAAAATATTGCAATTCTGCTGATTTCATCCACTCATGGTACCTGAAAAAGTAGTAACAGTTCATTTATAATGAGAACGAAGAATCTAATAAATTTGAAAAATATAAATATCATAGGTAAGTGATAGACGATAATTTAAAAATGGAGGATGTTTTGAGGATGTAACGCATTATCGATAATACACTCGGGGTAAATGATACCAGCCTTTCAACATGTTTTTTCTTGTACGGTACTAAAATTACGTTCGGTCCAATAATTTTAGTAAATTCGTTATCTTTCATAATTGATGATTGATCGACGTCAAAGTTGTCAAAGGAATGAACCAACTACAAGTTGCAAAGTTAAAGAGGTTACGTCCATCCATCTGCCATATTGGATGCAAAGTTTGCACCGCTGATATGATCTAGGATTTTTAACAAGTAAATTCATTTATCTGATTCTTTTGCCATTTATAATTGTAACTCAAGGCGTAATTATCAAAAGATAAGACAATTCGGGAAAGATGGCATATAATTTTCCGGGTGTACCAACGGCCGCTATGCCACCGATGGGTACGTTCTGAATTCATAACCGTGTATATTTTATCAGTTTATTATGTACTGCATCATTTATCAATTTAGTATAGTATTTAATATCACAATTATTTTATGGAAAATTAGTGTTTAATTTCACTTATGGAAATGATTCGTTCTTAGGTATGGGACCAATGGGCCCCCTTGCTCCAATTGCAGGACCACAAAGTTTTATGGAATTAGCTAGTCAAGGATTTCCTCCACTACCTCCACCGATACCACTGCCCGGAATGAACGATTCTCCTTTAGAGTTTAGCACAAATAAGAATCAACCACCGCTAGCTAGGGAATCTATGGATGACAATAATGACAAAAAAACTGAGAAAAATGATATCAGACGTGAACGAGAGAATAGGGAGAGTAGAGATAATCGAGATAGCAGAAGGTTTTTCTTTATATCGGCAATCCAGTGTAATATAATATGTGTCTTATATTTATCTTTGCGCAATTGGTGGTTACAGATCGAGAAGTGAAAGAAGCGACAGAAGAGAAAGAGATCGGGAAAGAAGGGAAGAAAGAAATGAAAGGGATAGAAGAGAAGAACGAAGACCTGAGGAACGAAGTGGTATAAATTCCTCAACGAATAACAGTAATGGTCATAATAATAATTCGAATGGTAATGAACTTCCGTCATCGAATGCTAGTGGAACTCCAAATATAGGAGCTCAAATGGAACAAGCTACAGGTGTTTGGGGAATGGGTGTAGGGTACCCTGTGATGGGAATGGGTCCTATGGGGCCAATGGGACCAATGATGAGCGAAATGACGCTCGGTCCACACATGGGACATACGCATAGTTATGGCCCTATGAGTATGGGGATGATGTCGCACGACGGTAGTATGATTGGAGCGCAAATATTAGGTCCGGAACAAATAATGAGCGATGCTGCTCAAATAATGAGCGGTGCCTTGCCTCCTCCACCGTCGGCACCGCAAGGTACCAAAGAAATTATACACTGTAAAAGTTGTACCCTATTTCCACCAAATCCAAACGCACCACCTCCAACAACTAGAGAAAGACCACCAGGGTGCAGAACAATATTTGTAGGAGGTATTCCTTTTTTTTACGAAATATAACATGATGTAACAGAAATATTTAATGTAACAGAAATATTTGAATTTGTTGTAGGTCTACCAGAAAATATTACGGAAACGATAATTCAAGAAATATTCGAAAGGTGTGGAGAAATAACTACACTACGACTTTCGAAAAAAAATTTTTGTCACATACGGTTCGTGCTTGAGAGCAGTGTTGACGCAGCTATTTATTTGTCTGGATACAGAGTTAGAATAGGATCTAGTGGCGATTCCGTAAACACGGGCAGACTTCATGTAGACTTTGCTCAGGTTTGTGGTTTACATTTCGAGTCTATCACTAGACTCTAAAGTTTATATTTCAATTAAAATACAGGCTAGGGACGACCAATACGAGTGGGAATGCAGGCAACGTCAATTGCAAAGAGAACAACGGCACAGAGAAAGAGTCGAGCAAGAACGGCAACGAGCACCGTCTAGTCCTCCTCCGGTTGTACATTATACGGACCACGAAGCGTCAAATATTTGTGAAAAAATTAAACAAGACGATACGTTTATGAAAGCAGTGCAAGTGAGTAAAGTCAATGTGAATTGTATAGCAATGGTCATAATTTAAAATGCCTCTATTTTTATATACTTTCGATGAATTCAGGTTGTTGTAACTTGGCTCGAACGCGGGGATTGCACTAAACGCAACGCCAACACGTTTTATTCGATGATTCAGTCTACAAATTCTCACGTTCGACGATTACTCACGGAAAAAGTTGCGTACGAAGAGGAACTTCAGAAGGCAAAGGAACTAATGAAGGGCAGGATGCAAGGACTTTTGATACAATGTACGTTTATACAATTCATATACATATATATATTTTTTTTTGTTATATCGTCACAGCTCTATACCATTGTACATTTTTGTGTACACAAGAGCAAATCTACATACGTAGTATTGCTTTATCTGGTAAGTTTTTTTTTGCCATAAAATAAGGACCTTGCAATCGTTTGGAATATCGTCGCGATATTCGATATCAACGATAAGTGCCAAAATCCAATTACGTCAAAACATTCCGCGTCTTGTGTTAACAAAACTGAGTACTCTTCTTCGTTGGTAAATCAATAACTGAGACAAAGCGTACTATAACAACAGCAGAATTTCATGTTATAGTAGTTACAAAAGGTACGTTACTTCTGATATTAAAGATCTTGATATTTAAAGAAGAACACGCAAAATGAAAAGGAACGTTAAATATTGGAAACGAAATGTCTTGTCAACGAGTTCGTTCAGTACAGTTAACCGCGATGAATCTTAGCAAAAAGTATAATCTTCGTTGAGTTCCAACATCAGGTGTATTATAAGAAATTGATTATGTGACGGGAATGGTCGGTGAATGCACAATCAGGACAACTCGGTAGAAGGATCAAAGACAGTAGGAGAAAATCTAAGGTGGGTGAAGAAATCCTGTCTACTCGGTTCTAGACGTTCGTTTTAGAACGGTAAACGAAACGTCGAATGAGAAAGCACAAATGTATTACGAGAATTCATTTTCTAGAGACTTAGTGTATCTAAGAGTTGCATGCTTGCAATGCTAAGGATTAAGGGTGATGGGCTAAACATTTGTTGCGAAGATGATATTATGTTACGATTCTCGTTGCACACTTTACAGTCAGTTATTTTCTATTATATATTGTATTATATAGATTTTCTAATATCGAAATTGGTCAAATATTGTTTGTAAAGTTTCTCTTGTTTTCCGTAACGTCGATTATTAAGGGAATCGTAGCTTGAAATCATCGTTTACGTTGGAAGGCTCTACATGTTGTAAGTTGTTAGGCAAATAGCGCGCATTTTCTTCGAGGGAAATAGTCAGTGATCGTGACACGAAAAAACTAATCGATTGGCTGCTGAATCGCAACAGTTCAAAAAGGATTCTCGGTACGGAGAATGCGGTTCGAAACATTCAAAATATTCCCCTCGTATAAGTATTTTCATGAGAATGTTATTGTGTGTACAGCACGATTCCTAACGAATTTCACACTGACACGATCAAACCGATATCAGCAATAGATTTCCAGCTGATTTTCAGATATGCGTGTGAAGGGAATTTTCAAATTCGCATTCGTATTCGAATTTGAATTCAAGTACGAGTACAAGTACAAGTACAAGTACAAGTACAAGTACAAGTACGAGTACGAGTACGAGTACAAGTACGAGTACGAGTACGAGTACGAGTACAAGTATGAGTACAAGTACAAGTACGAGTACGAATACGAATACAAAGCAAAATTCGAACGATGTAGACGGGAATCGATTCGAATGAAAAGAACCAACGCCGACGATCAGAATATTGTAAAGAACCTATTTAAAAGAACATAGATGAGTGTAAAGAGTAACATATTAGACCAAAACGAACGTAGAGTTTCAAGCAGGGTATACAACAGAAGATTTGTTGTGTTTTTGTATGCAACATGCGACCATGTCATCAACAGTCAGTCAGATTGAACGCGTGTTTACTGCGGCCAGCCACAAGAAGGTCTGGGATCACTTCACAAAGGCTCAACGGAAGAACATCGAAATGTGGAAGAAGCAATCCTCGGTATGTATTTGCATTCTCACGCCAGCAGCGTGACCACCTCACGTTACTTTCTTTACAATTAGACAACAGTCAGATATCAGTCACCAGCAAAGTCTTACCAGTCGTAAAGCGAGACAAAGCTTTTTTATGCAGTCGCGCGATCATCCCCATACCACGCTGCTGATCGTTTGATCGCGCGTTTTGCAAATTCCTTTTTTGTCCGAGAATAAGGTAAGTGAATTTGAGTGAAGAGTACAAACGGCTTCATATCTGGTCAGACACATACGCTTTCTCTGTACGATCGGTCTTTAAACTTTTTCGGATTATTGGAATGTAAAAGGTAACGGGTAGTTCCGCTCGTTTCTATTGAACGGGTACAATTCACTGGAATGAACAGGTAATTGACCCAACCGATCACCGATCTTCGTAAAACTCTCGAAAGATCAGCTGCCGGATTCAATTTCACGGACGTTGAATGCTTGATGCGAGCCAGTAAAAGAACGCATACACATTCCTGTTTATTTGTTTCTGCATTTTTAATGGGATAGGATCCGATCGTTCTCAAGA